TACGTATGAGTGTATTTGTTCTGTATATGTATACTTTTAACTTTATCGTACAATTATATATGAACCGTCAAATTAAATAAAGAGAACTAATATTAAAATTCCACGATATTTCTGTCGCAAGTTGTATTAAACAAAATGCGGTTATCCTATTGAAAGTGCACTCAATGGGTTGTTTCATCTTCCCCAGTGGCACAATCGGTTAGAGCGCCCTACTTATATGGCAGTACTGCTCTGTTACTGAGTAATGCGGAGGTTGTGAGTTCGAGCCTCACCTGTGGAATGAGTATGTTTTGAATCCACGAATTGGAGAGTAATTGAATCGACACATTTCCAAATCGCAAATTCCATTCGCGATCCATTCTCCAGCATTTATTTCATCTAATTTAAATGACATCGATCGCCATTTTTATTGTCACAAAATTGCAAATACGTCGAATTTGAGTTAAACACGTGCTTAACCCGACTCAATTAAAATGGATAAATGGCATCACAGCTTGCGTATATATCTAACGATAATTGCATGCAATCCTGTGAAGTGCTGTTTTTTACTTATTCATTTACCCAGTGTTTACAAAGCCTGCTAAAAATGTCCAGTGGTGATGCATTATTCAAGTAGAATAATAGATGTCATTGACTTGCTCAAGACGGTTATATAATTTTACGATTTTGAGGGCGCTGTTAAGCAGACTGTTTGTTGGAGCGCCATCTTGTGATCGTTTACTGATTGGCATATTGAAATCACGGATGATCTATGCTCATTTCATGAATGACATTCAATAATTTTCACGTACATTACATTTCATTTATGCATGCTATAAAACAATAACCCAATACACTTTATATAGATTATGTAACAGGTGAGGTATTTATGAAAGTGCGAAGCACATGTTATTACGGATATCACAATAGGTGAATTTGTTCGATTATCACCAATAAGTGCTGATTGTAATTAGGGGTTAATGGCATTTGATTTCCTGCTCTCTGATTGGGTTATTTTGAATAATATGCAGATTTCAAGGTGACTTAAGTTCCACCTTGTTGACTCAAACCATTCTTAAATTCACAAAAAAATACATCATTCGAGATGACGATGCACAATCCAAGAGGTAACGTAATGTGTGCTGCAGATGTTTACTCACGCATACAGCATATGTATGCCAATCCACCGTATACCAGTAATTTCAACTCTCACAGTACATTGTCATGCGTAGACCGACCGCCGTATAGCTTCGTAGCACTTATCGTCTTGGCTATAAGGTCAAACGCGGAACAGAGGGCTACATTGAAAGATATCTACCGCTATATAGAGACAACTTTTCCGTATTATCGGGTGAAGAGCCCTGGCTGGAAGAATTCAATCCGTCAAAACCTCTCTTAAAACAATTGCTTCATCAAGAGTCCTCGTAGTATACATGACCTGACTCACGGTCATTTCTGGAGACTAGCAGAGGGTTGGAAAGAAATGTTTTCAGAAAGCGACATCCGCCGCCGTCGTCGAGGATATAAGAAATCCAATAACCACGAGTTTATAACAACGAACAGCCAAGCGAACGAGGATTATATTACCCGTTATAAACCTGAAAGCACGTCGTCGTCGGTGGAGTCATGCAAGAAACATACGCCAAATTACGTTTCCTCGATTACACGTAGCGAGAGAACACAAGAAAGACATGTAAACGGAAAACAGTTCAGTGACTTTAGTATTGCCAAAATACTACGCTGTCAGTAGAAACGAAAAGCCGGCCACTGTGATGTATCGGACAATAAAACGATTAAACATGCTGGACGTATTGTTCGTAATGACACAAAAGACTCTGCGCGTGACATTCCTGGCCAATCTTTCAATGCGAGTAGTCAGATTTCTTCAAGTCGAGTCATTTAGTATTATCCACCAGTTTCAAGAAAGCTTTAATAATAAACCGTGCTGCTAAATATCAGGCACGTATGAGTGTATTTGTTCTGTATATGTATTACTTTTAACTTATATTCGAGCAATTATATATGAACCGTCAAATTCAAAATAAAGAGAACTAATATTAAAATTCTACGATATTTCTGACGCAAGTTGTATTGAACAAAATGCGGTTATCCTATTGAAAGTGTACTCAATTGGTTGTTTCATCTTCCCCAGTGGCACAATCGGTTAGCGTGCCGTACTTATATGGCAGTACTGCTCTGTTACTGAGTAATGCGGAGATTGTTACTTCGAGCCTCACCTGTGGAATGAGTATGTTTTGGATCCACGAATTGGAGAATAATTGAATCGAAACATTTCCCAATCGCAAATTCCGGGCTAATCTGCACTGGCTCGGAAGGTTGTAAATGATTAGCTAGTTTGAGTTTGCATAACAATACTGACAATGAACGTGCATTCAACGCCACAAGCTTTTTTAGCCAATCAGAATTCATCTTCCGAGCCAATGCAGATCAGCCGCAAATTCCATTCGCAATACAATCTCTAGCATTTATTTCATCTAATTTAAATGACATCGATCGCCATTTTTATGGTCACAAAATTGCAAATACGTCGAATTTGAGTTAAACACCTGATTAACCCGATTCAATTAAAATGGATAAATGGCATCACAGCTGACGTATAAATGTAACGATAATTGCTTGCAATCCTGTGAAGTGCTGTTTTTTACTTATTTATATACCCAGTGTTTACAAAGCCTGCTAAAAACGTCCAGTGGTGATGCATTATTCAGGTAGAATAATAGATATCATTGACTTGCTTAAGAGGGTTATATAATTCTACGATTTTGAGGGCGCTGTTAAGCAGACTGTTTGTTGGAGCGCCATCTTGTGATCGTTTTCTGATTGGCATATTGAAATCACGGATGATCTATGCTCATTTCATGAATGACATTCAATAATTTTCACGTACATTACATTTCATTTATGCATGCTATAAAACAATAACCCAATACACTTTATATAGATTATGTAACAGGTGAGGTATTTATGAAAGTGCGAAGCACATGTTATTACGGATATCACAATAGGTGAATTTGTTCGATTATCGCCAATAAGTGCTGATTGTAATTAGGGGTTAATGGCATTTGATTTCCTGTTCTCTGATTGGGTTATTTTGAATAATATGCAGATTTCAAGGTGACTTAAGTTCTACCTTGTTGATTCAAACCATTCTTAAATTCACAAAAAATACATCATTCGAGATGACGATGCACAATCCAAGAGGTAACGTAATGTATGCTGCAGATGTTTACTCACGCATACAGCATATGTATGCCAATCCACCGTATACCAGTAATTTCAACTCTCACAGTACATTGTCATGCCGTATATCTTCGTAGCACTTATCGTCTTGGCTATAAGGTCAAACGTGGAACAGAGGGCTACATTGAAAGATATCTACCGCTATATAGAGACAACTTTTCCGTATTATCGGGTGAAGAGCCCTAGCTGGAGGAATTCAATCCGTCAAAACCTCTCTTTAAACAATTGCTTCATCAAGAGTCCTCGTAGTATACATGACCTGACTCACGGTCATTTCTGGAGACTAGCAGAGGGTTGGAAAGAAATGTTTTCAGAAAGCGACATCCGCCGCCGTCGTCGAGGATATAAGAAATCCAATAACCACGAGTTTATAACAACGAACAGCCAAGCGAACGAGGATTATATTACCCGTTATAAACCTGAAAGCACGTCGTCGTCGGTGGAGTCATGCAAGAAACATACGCCAAATTACGTTTCCTCGATTACACGTAGCGAGAGAACACAAGAAAGACATGTAAACGGAAAACAGTTCAGTGACTTTAGTATTGCCAAAATACTACGCTGTCAGTAGAAACGAAAAGCCGGCCACTGTGATGTATCGGACAATAAAACGATTAAACATGCTGGACGTATTGTTCGTAATGACACAAAAGACTCTGCGCGTGACATTCCTGGCCAATCTTTCAATGCGAGTAGTCAGATTTCTTCAAGTCGAGTCATTTAGTATTATCCACCAGTTTCAAGAAAGCTTTAATAATACACCGTGCTGCTTAATATCAGCTACGTATGAGTGTATTTGTTCTGTATATGTATTACTTTTAACTTATATTCGAGCAATTATATATGAACCGTCAAATTCAAAATAAAGAGAACTAATATTAAAATTCCACGATATTTCTGACGCAAGTTGTATTGAACAAAATGCGGTTATCCTATTGAAAGTGTACTCAATTGGTTGTTTCATCTTCCCCAGTGGCACAATCGGTTAGCGCGCCGTACTTATATTATATATGAAACGTCAAATTTAAAATAAAGAGAACTAATATTAAAATTCCACGACATTTCTGACGCAAGTTGAATTAAACAAAATGCGGTTATCCTATTGAAAGTGCACTCAATGGGTTGTTTCATCTTCCGCAGTGGCACAATCGGTTAGAGCGCCCTACTTATATGGCAGTACTGCTCTGTTACTGAGTAATGCGAAGGTTGTGAGTTCGAGCCTCACCTCTGGAATGAGTATGTTTTGGATCCACGAATTGGAGAATAATGGAATCGAAACATTTCCAAATCTCCAGCATTTAGTTTTATCTAATTTAAATGACATCGATCGCTATTTATATGGTCGCAAAATTGCAAATACGTCGAATTTGAGTTAAACACCTGCTTAACCCGACTTCAAT